TTCATTTCACACAGGCCACCGAACAGTGACTGCAAGTTCCCTTCCCTTTCCCCTAGCCTCCATTCAAACCAAGCCCCTGGAGGTGAAGACTCTTGAACCCAGTTCTAGGGTTGACCCACTAATCCCGCATTCTCTTTGTCCTGCAGTATGTTCGATACGAGTCATTGGGGAGAGCGACATCATGCAGGAGTTCTTATCGGAATCAGACGAGGTAAGTGGGTCAGCTGGAGGCTATGCTGATGTGCTAATCGGGTGCTGCTTTTCTTGGCGTGTTCTGTTTCAAAACTGTTGGGTTGTAACAAACTAACCCCTGCCTAGGTGAAAGATGGAAAAGGAGAGCCAATTTGCTGGTTGCGTAGCTGTGTGTTGTCACCCGGGTACCCAAAGAAAATTATGGCCAAAAAATAGTTACCTGATGTATCTTTAATCCTAGAAAACTGCATGACTGGCCACTAGGCATCATCATAATGGGGGCAAAAGGCTTGTTAGAGGGTACCATATGCCTGTTATCTCTTTCTGCTATTGATACAGCTATTCCAGGGGTTCACTGCAGTGAAGAACACCCCTGCTGCCCTTCTCATCAGTTCCCGGGATTCAGATCGCTACACTCTCTCAGCAGTGGGCCCTGGTCTTTTGTACCATGTCCCCTTGGCAAGCTGAAGAGCCCGATATAAGATCTGTTGAAGGGGTTTGCTGCTGGCTGCTTGTGTTTAATGTTTTATCTTGCAGCACGGCTGACTTCTGTGTGGCCCCTGGGAGCCTACTGAGTAGGTTTGCTTTTGTGTGTTACTTATATTTGACGCTGCAGCCTGTGGAAGCCAAGGCAATAGGTGTTATAAATGTTAATATTTTATTTGGGAATAATTTAGTTCTGATTGCAAAGCAGCAGTCATGAATTTCCATTTTCCCCTGAGCTGTTGCTTCCCCTCTCCTCACCAACTTCTTGTGGTAGGCAGAGCTGCTGTAACCAAGACCGTCTCTTCCTTCACTGGCACACTTCGAATGCACTGATTCACACAAGTGGAAAATCCTCCCCAGTCATGACCTGAAGTGGTTCATTCAAGTTCCTGCCTTGTGAAGCAACTGGACTCACGTCTTCTTCCCTCTCCCCTCCACCCCACGCGCCACCAGAAGTTGCCTCTGTTGCAATCAGAAATCAGTTTCTGTGGCTTGTAAAAGATTCATTTTGAAATGTGATTACAGTTAGAAAAGCAACTGAACAAAACTGGTCTCTTCCCGCTCAGCAAATCTGTATTTATTCATAGTGACATTTGAAGCCTTTGACTCCAGTGAACCCCACAACTTGAGAGAGCTGGAGTCTGTTCTGGCTCATGCAGTCCCAACAGAGCAGCTAACCGAGTTCTGTTCTTGTAGTACCATAGTTTCTCGTCAGTTACTTCTATGTGCATAGGTCAGAATTGGTGGTCTACAGAATCCTTAGAGAGGGATGATGGTGGACGCATGGTTAGAGTACTAGCCTGGGGTTTGGAAGACTCTGATTCAATTTCTTGGTCCACAGCAGTGTGGGATCTTGGGCAAATCACTTTGTGTGTCTTGGCCTCAGTTCTCTCTGTATCTGTATAATGGAGATAATAGGCCTGCCCTGCCTCACGGGATAACACATTACTGTTTGGAAGGGGTGCCAATGGTAATGAGGCCAGATAAAATGGACACTGATCGTGATGAGTGAACCAGAAATAGCCTGTTTTAATTCTCAGCTCCCAGTGCGAGCTTGCAGGGCTGGCCGTTAGAAAAATAAATCTTTTTGTAGACTTGGCCAACTTAATTTGAGCTCCTGGAGTGTGTATGCACAGTGTCTCTTCTAAATCACTTCTCTGAGGTGAAATAACTCCTTTTTAGGATTGCTGTATCTCCTGTGGTAACCACATCACTAATCAAGTGATTTCTGGTTGGACTCTGGATTGTGTTGTTTTCTCTTTTCCAGAATTACAATGGTGTGTCAGATGTGGAACTGAGAGTAGCACTACCGGACACTACTACAGTGACAGTCAGGGTAAAAAAGAATAGCACCACAGACCAGGTGTATCAGGTAAGGGGCATATTTGCATGAAGTTTTCTAGTTATCTGAGCTAGATTTATGTGGCTCAGACTTTAAACAAGACCCCTCCTGCTTGCTTTCTCATTGCTGTTCTCCATGGTGAGTGGGATCATTGGAATAATACCACAGAGAGGCAAGAACTGTAGAAAACCAACCTTACGTCTTGGTGATAGGGCATTTTCTTTGACGTTTTCTCTTGCAAGGGCAGAGTCGTCATTCCGTTAATTTCCACTGATAGTATCTTAAAAGCTGAAGCAGGATTTCTCTAATTATTAGACAAATTCTGTCCTATGACTGCAATGGCTGCGGGGAGTTAGCTCTCTGCAGGCAATGAGAGCTTGCAAACCCAACATGTGTTTCTTGTCTCAGCTGTCTAGTAGGGGGCAGTGACTCGAGTCTTAATAGGAGCTGTCTGCATTGGGGAAATCCTGACCGAGGGGGTTAGTATCTAGCCTTGTATTTTTGAACTAGTAGTTTTAAGGCAGGGGTGGGGAACCTTTTTTGGGTTGAGGGTCAGTGACGCACAGAAAAATCAGTCGGGGGTGCACACAAGTGAAAAGAAAAACAAACGAACAGAACCCCCCCCCACAAACCCCTCACTGATGTGGGTTCCCCGACTGAAAAGGAGAAAGACACTTTCCAAGTTCTCTTCATACACCAGAGCCCTAAGGGGGCCCAGGCTGGTAGATTTTGTGTGCTCCAGCTCTGCAGTGGAGCAGCAGCAGGGCCGGAGCACCAGCGTGGTCTGCCCAATGCTGGGCGGGGGGGACGGCCCCGAGCTTCGGGGGCCAGATCCCAGCAAGCCGTGTGCCACATCCGGCCCCTGGACCTTAGGTTCCCCACCCCGAGTTAAGGCCAGAACCCAGGGAGATCCTGACTCCTCTCAAATCCCATTGAAGTCATTGCAACCTCCCACACCATAGTGATCTTAAGCTGATTTACTGCTTCCTGAGTATGCCTAGAGCAGGCCTGGGCAAAATACCCTCCACAGGCCGGATTCAATCCACCAAGCCACCAGATCCGACCTGCAGACACAGCAGGGAGCCTCAGGCAGACTCCCTGCTTCCCTCTCCCCCCCGCCCCATGCTGCTGAGTAAAGCAGCCATAGCAGGGCTCTGTTTGAATAGCTGAGACACCTGGGAAGGGGAAAGAGGCTTCATGCACTGCACCTACTCCCAGCGCAGTCCCATTGGCCGGTTTCTGCCCAGTGGGAGCTGCCTATTGTCAACAGGCAGCTTGCCAAGCACCCCCCCCCAGGCTCCTAGATGTTTAAAAACCACATGGTCTCTGCAGCTAGTGCAGGGGCGGGGCAAGGAGGGAGTCTGCTTGAGAAGGCTGCTGGCTGGGAGTCAAGCAGGTAAGTCTCCCAGCCAGAACCTAACTCTGGGGTAAGTGTCCCAGCCAGAGCCTGCCTTTGGTACCCCAACCCTTTGCCCTACTTCTGCCCCCCATATCTCCTCCCAGATCCTGCACCCTAATCCCCTGCTCAAGGTCACAACCCAAACTCCTTCACCTCAGTCCCCAAACCCAGGTCACAACTGCCTTCTTCATCCAAATCCCTCCTAGATCCCACACTCTCTCCTGCACCCCAATCCCTTACTGCAAGCTCCCTTCTGCACTCAACCTCCATCCCAGACCCTGCACCTCCTCCATTAATATGGAAGTGTGCGACCATTGACCACTTCCCCAATTCTTGGAGTGCCCCCCTCTCCCGCCCCCCAGCATTTTGATGCTGCCAAGGGATCTATTTAAAGCTGGTTAACAAAATGCAGCCACCACTGCTGAAACTGAGGATGGTAGCTCAGAGAATGAATGGGGCGGGCGTACAGGGTCCGAAGGAAACCTGAACAAGTGAAGATGTTGCTATAGTTAACAAGCCAAAGGACTTTCCTGACAGCAAAATCTCCGGAGTTCTAGATTTATGCAATCTGTGCTTGCCGGATCAGATTCTGTGTGTATTAATGCATTTAGGCCACGGTCTATTGAATTGCATTCTTGTCTCGAGGTCCTTCTTACGCATGGCTCTGTTATCAGCATGCGTGGAAAAACTCCTAAGGGATGGGGGGAGGGTGTCTGTGCCTGGTGTATTAGGAACTGAAACTTGATGCATCGGAAGAAAAGATGACCTAATTGTCAGCTGTGGCAGGGCTTGAAATCTGGAGCAGTTGACAGAAGGAAAGAGCGAGAGACTCCGGGCCCTAGTTCAATAAGAAGTGTGACTGAACAGGAATAGCGTTAAAGATTTCCTTGGTGACTAATAGACTGGAACGGTGACTTGTAAATAACCAATGTGAGCTAGGCCAGCCCTGTCCCAGAAGAGTGCTGAACGCTATTTTGCTGATGCTGTTTTTCCATTTGGTTGCACTTTAGGCTGTGGCTGCTAAAGTAGGAATGGACAGCACTACAGCAAACTACTTTGCCTTGTTTGAAGTGATCAATCACTCCTTTGGTAAGTCTCTTAATCCTCCCGACCCAGCTAAAAGTTCAGCAGCAGCCGAGCCTGCCAGCATGCTCATTTAGCTCTTATCTGCACTCAAAATTCGGAGCCCCCAGGGGAAATCTGCCAGGCGTTGGAGACTCTGATAATGAGGCGCCTTCCGAGGTGGATAGGTTCTGCTTGACTTTCCCTTTTTTAAACGGTTCAAGGAGACTAAACTGTGAAAAATGAAGACATGGTTTAGTTTCAAGGATTCCAGTGTGCTTAAGGTGCTCTTTTATATTGCCCATAAGGGTGAAGGACTGAGAACTCTGATTGTATTTGATCTTTGCCTGTGCAAATCACTGGGGGGTTTAGAGGACACCATCCCTGCCAGCTAAAGCATATTGGATTTACCTGTGATTTTTTTTTTTTTTTTGGATCAGAAGCAGCAGTATTTTCACCCAGTTTCATACTGGATTTGCTGAAGTCCAGTAACTTACATTCACTTGTGGGGTGATCTCTGTTAGATTTTATATGATAGGCTTCGAGCCAAAGGGTCCTGATTCCTAGCCCTGTTCCCACAATCTGTAAGTTAACTTTCTTATAGAGCTGACGGCGTGCCCTAAATCCTTGTGTCTCCCTGCTAATTGTGCAATATAGGCCAAGAGAGTACAAACTGTTCCTACTAGCTTTCGCTTTTCGCTTTGGAAAACATGTCTGGCTTGGCTTGCAGAGGCATTTTTAGATTTTTAAATAAAGCACTTCTAAAATATCCCTGACAAAGCAGACTCGATTGGCATGCAGTTCTTGATTCTGGAGCATCCAAGTTTATAGTGGCTCATCCCTGTCTCCTGTGAAGCAGCCTCAATCACAAAATTACCACTTGATACCACCGAGTTGACAGCTGCTTTCTCAGAGATACCTGGCGTTGAGAGGACAGGGCAGGATCCCAGGGCGTTTGCAGCTCTGTGTGCGGGGAGCCCAGGACTGGAATAGAAGAGCATGCTGCAGGACAAGATTGACATGTATTGGCAGAGCTGTGTAGGGGGCTCAGGTAGGAATATCCAGGGTGATGGAGTTCAGAACTGTGGTGGATTGGCAGAGTGTCACATGGCAAGTTTTCACGCTGCCTGATTGGAGCCAGTGCTATATAAGAGCTGGGTATTAATAAGTATTCGTTATTTGTACAAGTGCCATGTTTCTCAAACCATTGAAAAGTAAATGCTCTAGTTACCCTTCCTGGCTGGTGTGTTGGTAAAACTCACTCTGAATAGCCGCTCATTCTTTATATACTGTACTCACTCCATTTAGTTTCCCTGCAAACAACTGTGCTCCATGTGAGAGAGGTAGGAACACTGTCCTTGCACCAGATGCAGGGCTGGACAGTCAGGTGGGTTATCCTGGATCACACTGTTTTTCTCCCTCCTTGTTTAGCAGGATGGTTTTTCAGTACATTAGACTCTCAACAAAGGTGCGCTGCCTATTGTACCAGCCACCCAGAGCTGATATTGAATAGCTTGAAGGCAGCCTCTTCGTCACTGACCACTGCACCAGGCTTTGTTCTGGTTCTGGTGGCAGGCTGCCCAGATGGCGTGTAAGATTCCCCCTGTCGCTTGGGAGAGTCTTAACTCAGCCTCAGAGGGTGTGAAAATGTGCGGTGCTCTTCTGAAGCACTCGACAGTGGATCATAATAATCATTGTTCCATTGGATTCCATGTTATCCACCCCTGTAAGCCGAAGTGGGACTCTTCCGTGCATTGTTTTCTCCTGTGGCTTGAATGCCCTAATGCTCAGGCTAGAGATCTAAAATCTAAGGCTTTTGCAGGATGTGTTCCTGTACTCTTCACAGAGAGTGAAAATAAACTGTGACAGTCTGACAAATATGGTTAGACTTTGTGGCTGCTTTCAGATGCAGTCCTGCCTAACCCAGCTGCTTTTCTACACAACGCAGGGACAGCACCTGGGGAGCAACGTTCCCCAGATAGCAGAACAAGTGAGTGGATTCTGATTTCGTACAGTTACCTGACGGCTGCGCTGACATGATGAGCCTAGCAAAGCTCTGGCTTTGTGAAGGCAGGTGTTAGAAAGGGTCTTGGAAAAAGCAGAGCTGGAGTTCTGCTCCCATCTGCTCCATGGGGAACTGCTCTCTCGCTTGGTGTTAGGTGAGCCAATGTAACTTCTCTGGTGATCAGTTATTCGTGTGTTATGGTAGCACCCAGGAGCCCTGGCATAGGCTAGGAGCCCATCGTGCTAGGCGCCGTATGGTCACAGATCCAAAGGCTGGCCCTTCCTCCGAGAGCTCATCCTTCTCTTCCCACACATCTTGCAGTGCGTAAACTGGCGCCCAATGAATTCCCGCACAAGCTCTACGTACAGAACTACACTTCGGCTGTGCCGGGGACGTGTCTGACTATCAGGAAATGGCTCTTCACTACAGAAGAGGAAGCCCTTCTGAACGACAATGACCTTGCCGTTACCTACTTCTTCCACCAGGTAGGTGTATGTGAATTCCTGGCCTCGGAGTGCGGGACTAGCTTGATCACAAGCCATTGAAACCAGCTCCCGCTCATGTTGCCGTAGCTAAGCATCAGCTGCCATGGCTATTTCAAATTCAAAGACATTGAACACCTCAGTGCCATGTAGAGCTTAGGCCAGGGAAGGCCCTATCCTTGGTACAGTGTGATTGTGTAAGAAATAGAAACTGGGGATTGAGTGTTGCTCCATGACTCCATGGCTGAGTCCAGAACAGACCATGGGATCCTGCTGATACCCATCACTGGCTCAGACCCTGAGAGAGCAAACAGAAGAACTCAAGAATCCAGACTCCCTGTCTGTCTTGCTCTGATCACAAAGACTCTTGGGTTCTTGACTTTGCTCTCACTGACCCTCTGTCTCTTTGCAAGTCCCCTCACCCGGATTCCTTCATTTACTCCTCTGTAAAATCAGTATGTCCCCTACTGCCTACGGGTGCTGTGTATCGAATGCCTACTTGTAAAGCATGTGATTGTCCTGTAGAAGTGCCAAGTAGAAGTACTTCATTTCTCACCAGAGAAGAGGTCCCTTAATTGCCTCTTGAAGACTCAGTTCTGTTCAGCTTCCTTCCCCCTTTTCTCGCTTAGGCTGTAGATGATGTGAAGAAAGGTTGCATCAAAGCCGAGGAAAAGTCCTACCAGTTGCAGAAGCTGTCTGAGCAGAGAAAGATGGTCATGGTAAGTTTGTGGTTCTCTTGATACTTGGAAATGGCCATTTCCTCTGGCAAATGATGCCGGGGTATTGGCCCTTGATTGGGCCATTCCGGTCTGCAGTGAAGTTCTGAAAGTGTCGCTTGCCAAAACTGTGTTTGGAAGAACACCATGGGCCCATTTGGACTTGTGCTGGTTGAATACCCAAGGGAACGGCCAGCCAGTGCATGCAAAGCTATGGGGTTGCTACCTGGTGAGAGAGACTCCCAGAATGGTCAGTCAGTCTGGATGGGGTTAATATCCATATACACGATCATGTGTTGCATTGAGTCAGATTCCCTTGCATGTCTGGTGTGTGCCACTGGCTCAGGACTCTGTTACTGTTTTAAAAAACATTGAGCTGGTAAATCTGCAGCAGTGGAAGATTTGATTTTTTTTCCCCCCCCACTAAATGAATCACTCCTTTTATGGTCGCTCTTTTACCTCTTCACTGTTTGATGGGCAAAGGGCTGTGCCCATCCTGGTCTGTTCTAAGAACAAGAATTGTCTCGAGGCGTGAAGCTCCTCCTGTGTCCTTTCTCTCTCTCTAGCCAGTACCAGACGTTTCAGGGGCAGGTTATAAGACCCCATTGCTGAGCTCTGTATGGACCTAGTATTTGTGACACTGGTGTCACTTCGATTTGGGTCTGTGCCAGCAAGTCTGCAGACAGGCAAGCTGAGTGCTATCCTGCCTTGGGAATCACCAGACCATGAGCTGAGTTCCAGTCCTCGCCTCCCTGTTGTTGCTGGGGCTGTCAGGCAGGAAATGTAGCTTGAAGGTCAGAAGAATCATTGGGCTTCTACATGGGATAGCTTACTGAATTGCTCTGGGAATAAACATGAGGCCTCCCACTGTTCTTTTGAGTCTGAGCTCCATCCATTCAGGTTTTATTTCCCTGGCTGCTTTTGGTGGATGCTCCCAGCCTCTAGCATGGATGAACTTTGGTGCCACTGACCTCCCAGTTTGAAATCCTCTCCCCTGTTAGTCTTCGCCAGCTCTTACTCTGCGTACTGAAGTGGGCCCTGCTGACCCTTGTTGACTGTAACGGCTATCACAGATCATTGCTGTAGGAGCTTGAAATGCCTCTGTGTGGATCTTGAATGGGGACTATCTGAGAGGCAGTGGTGCCCAAGCTGAGCCTGCATTTTAATCACTCCATAATCTATGTATTTGCTTACTACAGTGAATATTGAACATCTTCTTCCCCTGCCTGCTTTACCACCAAGCTGCTGGGACACTCCAGTAAGCACTGAGCCCTTCCTTTCTTTTGCTGGCTGCCATATCGCTGGCTTTTTAACTCCTGCAAACAGCATAAATAGTCTTAGAGGGCCACTGTCAAGGAAATAGAATTGCAGCTCTTTACCTGTGCTAATTAATAACTATTCCTATGGCAGCAGACTCTACAGCTCTTAGTTGTAGTTGGGACTCTGCTGTGCTAGGAGCTATTTGGACTCGCTGGAAGACAAACGGAAAATCTTAGTCTAAACAGAAAACCCATTTGGAGCACAGGACTCCTGGAGTCTCTTCTCAGCTCCATCACATCCTTTGTGCCCTGGGTGAAATCACGTGAAACTTTCTTCGTTTTCCCCATCTGTAAAATGAGGGTGTGCCAACTCACACTATGACCTAGCCCATACTAGAAAATGTGTGCTGGCACAGGTAGACTGGCAGCACCCCAAGGGATGCAGCAGCTGGTGCAGGTTTATACCGGTTTTCTGAACAGAATAACCCAAACCACTAACTGGGCTTTTTCCCTGGTATAGTTGCATATACACAAGGCCTTTTGCTGTATTTCTCTAGTGCAGAAGATTTAAGTATTGACCAGGCCTCAGTGAGGTGCTATGAAGTTCAAAAGTTCTATTGAACATGTAATGGATGCTCTGAAATCTAAATGATTGCTCCTTACATCTTACTCCACTTTCATTCGCTAGGTCAGTTTCCCATTCTGTCTCTAGTCAGTTTCCTTTTCTGATTCTCCTGCTTTGACACCACTGCTTTGTTTGGGTTCCCAGCACTACAGGGAGATTACTACCCTCTTTTTTAAAAAGTTAATTAAAATAAGAGACGTCTCTAATAAATATTTCCATACTAGTTGTTAAAATCCTTTAATGCAAACCTTGGATGGCGAGCCTGAAACTACTTGATAGTGTATTTAATTATGTGATTTTGAACCCATAACTAGGAGTGTAATGGAGTGGACTATTCCCCAACACCTCGTACATGAGGCCGGAGGCCTTGCCACACCCTATCCCACCAAGAGGAGTAGAAGAGAGGTCCTCCAGGGAGGATAGAGTGTCCGTCTCCGTGGCGGCCAATCAGGGCCCAGCAGACCAGTATAAAAGAAACTTCTGGCTAGGGCCTGGCTGTTCTTCACAGGAGCTCAACCCAAGCAGTTCTATATGCTGACTGGGAGAACAGCAGCACTATAGACAGCTCCGATTATATGCTGAACTTTAGACCTGGGGGAGGCCAAGGTCCAGTGGCCAAAGACTGGCCACAAGCTGAATATCAGAACTTATTGCACTGCGGACAGGGCTAGTGAGATCCTAGCCTCAGAACCTTGTGATGACCAGACAAGGCAGCATCTGGGGAAAGTGACCCAGGGAGCAAGGAAGTACCAGACGGCCAGGCAAAGAGCTTACCCAACACCCCTTGGCCACAGACAGGCAGACCTCGTTACAAGGAGATTCAGCATTAAGTCTGAAAATCCAGGCCCACACTCTGGCTTCAGTTCACCCTTTTGTAACTTTTTCCTCCTTCCCATTCTAGGCCCCAGACCCCTGGTTTGTGGTTTGTTTGTTTCAGGGCTTCAGCAATACTTGTATGTTGGTTTTAAACTCTGTCTGACTCTAGTCATCCCTGACAGATGACAGAAACAGGTAAAATTCAGCAGGGGATTTGGGGAAACATGACAGTGTAAGCAGCAAATGCTTCTTGGACTAAACGAAGAGGGTTTTAATGAGAACCACACTTAGGGTCATCTCCAACTGAAGGCTTGACCATTTGTGTCTGTGGTTTTTTTTTGTTTTGTTTTTTTTAAAGTAGGATTTCCAAGATGCTCAGCTGAATTGTGACAACTGGTGATTCCAGCTGAGCGAGGTTTTTGTAGAACATTTATGGACTCAGTACTCGAGGCTACTAGGAACTTAGCTCATGCAAACCTCAGCCAACAGGTTTTTGTAGAACATTTATGGACTCGGTACTCAAGGCTACAAGGAACTTAGCTCATGCAAACCTCAGCCAAGTTTCTGGCAGTGGACTGAATGTGGTGGCATGCATATGATATCGGTGTAGGGACCTAACGGAAGTGGTCTGTTCAGAACAGGGATGTTTTCCCCCGCTGTGATTGCAGTGAGGGGCTGCTGGGCTCTGAGGGGGTTGGGATGATGGGGGATTGTTGCCTTGCATTCGGTAACGGATCAGCACATTTGTTTCTTGCTTTTCTGCAGTATTTAAACATGTTGCGGACATGTGAGGGTTACAATGAGATCATCTTCCCCCACTGCTCCTGCGACTCTCGGCGGAAGGGCCATGTAATCACAGCCATCAGCATCAAGCACTTTAAACTCCATGCCTGCACAGAGGAGGGTCAGCTAGAGGTAAACTACTCAAGGATATGGCAGGGCTTCTCTGGGTCTGAGGAACTGCAGATTTGTTGCAGGAAGAGCAGAAGACTGGTTCCTCATTTCGAGGGTGCTGCAGCTGCTGAAAGAGCAAAATAGAGAGCATGAAGAGGTGGCTTTTGAAACACGGTGGCCAATGTATGCCTGTGTGACTGATATGTGGGATCCCCATAGAAAATTCTGCAGCCTTAGCAGAACCTCTCCATATCCCCACTTTCTCTGAAAGGCATTCTGCAGCATTCCTGGGACTCCCTTGTTTTTCCATCTCTTCCCCTGCACTCTGCCCTCTCACTGCCCCATTTTTCCCCTGCCCTCTCCCCCACTCCAAGGTTCAGATCTACCCTGCAGCATGTCATAACTAACTTGCCTCCTGACTCATCCTTTGACGACACCCTCCCCGCCGGAGCATGGCTCTCTCTGGACCCTGATCTCTCCTTCTGTTTAGAACCAGGTAATAGCATTTGAGTGGGACGAGATGCAGCGGTGGGACACAGACGAAGAGGGGATGGCGTTCTGTTTTGAATACGCACGAGGAGAGAAGAAACCTCGATGGGTTAAAATCTTCACGCCATATGTGAGTGACCTTGTTATCTGCATTAAGGAGAGGGACTAGCCCAGTTTTTAGAAATCAGTGTAAAATTCTCCTTGCTCTGATCTCTTCGGGTACGTCTACACTGCACGGCTATTTCGGGATACTGGAGTTATCCCAAAATAGCTACCCCGCTTGTCTACGCGAGCCGCCTCTTATTTTGAAATATTTTTTGAAATAACTGTCATGCTATTTAGCCATCCTAGTAAACCACGTTGCACGAGGGATAAGGAATGGCTCGAAATAGCGTGTTATTTCAAAATTTGGCGCTGTGTAGATGCACCACATTTCAAAATAGCCTATATCAAAATACATTCAAAATGTTACGCAAATTGTGTGTCTTATTTTGAGTTTAGGGTGCTGTGTTAAACACACACCCTTGGTGTGAGAGATTTGACTCACATTTTTTTTGCGCTGTGTAACCAGACAGCCACTAGGAGGAGCCAGAGGTACAATAAGTTCTCACTCCACAGAGCTGGTACCTCTCTCCCTTCCCCTGCCCAGAAAGCTGGGTGTCATTTCTGACTCCCGCCCTGCGCTTAGTGGACGGTTGTTGTCTCCGAGCTGTGTAACGCTCTTGTGCTTTGCGTCAACCTGAGAAGGCTGCTTTATCTTTGCAGTTCAACTACATGCACGAGTGCTTTGAGCGGGTGTTCTGTGAGCTCAAGTGGAGGAAGGAGGTAAGATCCTGTAACTTGCACAGAAATTGCCTAGTCTGCTTGTGAGTTGACAGTAACCCTTTCCTGGCTAGCTTTCGTACTTGGCGGCAATGCTGGCTTGCTGCCCAAGTGGGGGAGGGGAGTGTTGCATAGCACTTAGGACAGTGGGAGCTGGTAGAGGTGACTCCTGAGTTCTCTTCCCATCTCTGGGAGCAGGCCTCTGGGGAGGTACTTCTGGGTTTTATTTGCAGCTGTTCGGTGGGAGTGTCAGGCAGTGACTAGAACAGGGAGCTGGGTGTCAGGGTTCCTCTTGTCCTTTGCACAGTGGCAACTCCTTTGGAAGAGGGGGCAATGGGGTAGTCAGACCCCTGCCTTTGCAGGCAGCTGGCTGTGACACGTTGGGCAAGTTACTTCCTTGCCTTAACCTCCTGATGTATTCAAAGGAGGAAAGGAAAACCTCCCTCTCCCCGGAGGGTTCTGAGGACTGCTTAATTGTTCATAAAGCGCTTTGAAGTCCTACAGGAAAAGGCTTTCTAGACATGCTAAGCATTTTTTAAAATTTTGCCCAGATTCCCAGCCACGGTTTTCTACTCCGTCCTGGTGTCCTCTCAGTAAATTATTCCGTTTTTAGGTACCACTCTGGCTAGTGTTGGGGTTTCTGACCAAGCCAGGGAGACCGTAGCATTATAGCCCAGCCTGCCTGTTGCTTGTTCATTTGTTTATATTCATAGTTTCCTGCTTCCACGGCACATACCTCTCCATCTTCTGCTACTTAGAGGAAATGTTTATCCAGCCCCCATCCACCTACCAGAGCCTCCCTATCCCATGCGGCTGCAGCCTGGCTCTGCGTGTCCCATGTTACAGCTTCCTGCTCCAGCGACCTGCAGCGTAGCAGGGAGACAGCAGAAAAATGCTGTTGGCAAACTGACCTCCCGGGAGTTGGAGACAATGTCGAGGGCTGATGCTAGCAATATGCTGTGCCCCATCACGTGTAGTGTCTTGAATTGCCACGCGCTGTCTGTGGGGAACAGAGCTGGCATGATGATTTGCGGGGCCGAGTTCAAATGGAGCAGCACAGCCACACACCGGGCCTGGGGCTCCTGCTCTACCTGTGTGGGGCTGCGGTGGATGCTCCCCCAGTGATGAAGAGCCTCCCGGGCCATCCATGGGAGGCCAGGCTGCCCTAACCACTGGCACCAGCGGTAGCCTCCTCTTCTCCTGTGGGCTAGGAGCCCTGCTGGGAGGGGGCCACCGCTGCCATGCACAGCCTGCACTTTGGGGACGTGCCACCCAGGCAGGCAGGGCCAATAATAAAGAGAGGAGCCGACTGCACACTCCTCATGCTGGCCCTGGTGGGGAAACTTGCACTGCTCTGTTGTCTCAGTGGTTCTCAGTCATCCCAGTACACAAGGGAGAATGATGCCTTCCTTTAGGAGCATAGGATATAAGCAGCTGCTTGGAGGCAGGATATAGCACTGAATGGGCCATTGGTCTGTTATGTGCTTCTAAGCTCCTCTGCTTAACCTGTCACCAGAAAGGGATCAACTATGTCACTTCTATAGTCTCTTGACCCTGAAGCCGGCAGCCTGCAGCCATCACTAGTTTTCTTTATTCGAACGTTGCTGGGGGCTGTCTCTGATCAGTGGCTGCCTGGAGCGTCAGATGGGCCTGGAGCAGCCGTTTATTTCTGTAAGGACTGATGTGCTGAGATGTGCGTGGGCTCCTCTACCCCAGCTATCTGAGGCTGGTTTGTGGCTGTGCCCTGGTAGTCTGGATCACTGTCATCTGTACCTAGCCAGGCCTCTGCCATCTACACGTCCAGATGTCCTAGGAGGCAGCATTCACTGTAATGGCTGGCAGGCTAGCTGGCTCTTAATGACATGACATAGGTACACAGCGAGGGGGAGAAGGGGTGTTTTGGTCAGGGTACACAGACATCTAGCTCCGTCCATGTTCTTCAGGTTGGCCTCACGTTTCTGTCCTCTGCTTGAGAAATACTGATCTGCTCCCTGAGCTAAGGCCTAACATTAGCATCTCTTTCCGCACCCAGGTCAGAGCAGGGCTGGCTGAAGCCGTTTCTGAGCACGTGTCATGGACACTGGTCTCATCCTGGGTCAGTCACTTCCTAACAAAACAGGCAGTTGGATTTCATTGCCTGGTCTTCTGGGGGTGCATATGGAAGCCTCCTGAATCCCATCCCTAACTACACTGACATCGCCATAGCTATTTAGTCCCATGCCCGTCAGTTTTTATTTATAGCCTTTATATTTTTTTTTTCTTATAAAGGTGGAGGAGGAAGCAACAGACAAGGATAACAAGAACATCAGTAAAGACAATATGTGCAGCAAGGTAACCGGGGCGAAAGCGAACCGCATCTGTGCTCTCTGAGCCAGTCTAATGGCTATACTGCGGACTTACTGTCTACTTCCTGGCTCTCCATTCCACTTCCTGCTAGTGTAGAATAGTGTTCAGAAGCCTGGCAGCTCCTCCTTAAAGGAAACGGTTTCCTGCTGCTGTAAGCTGCAGAGAGGCTGCCATGTTGCTTTGAGATAGGGATGTGATCAAGTTACTGGTTACCCAGATGCTTCATGCCAACTTTTACCATGGTAGTGCTTCATGGGCAGGTCCTGCTCTCTCCTCCACCTCAGTAATCAAGGAGTTAATTGAGTAGCAGGCAGGGAAACCATCTCGTGTAGCTGAGTCTTTTAAGCAAAACTCCCCAGCGGCTGTTGTCTGCTCAGCAGATGCATTGAAGCCTTTCTCACTTGTTCTACAGAGATTTAAACCTTTAGCCTAGACTTTTGCCCTCAGATGATCCCAGGATGTTTCCATTGCCTCACTGGGGTTTTCTATCTTAAGCCTTATCTATGCTTAAACTTCGACTGCTGCAGCTGGGTCAGTCGGCTGGCGACATAGCAATGCTGGTCAGTATAGACACGGCTATGCCAACAGGAAAACGCTTCCCTCCACCTAATGAATGCCATTTGGTAGGCGATGTTCTTTTCTTTTGCTTCTCACTGGTGGGTGGCCCCTGACTGAAAAATAGATTCCCCTCCCCAGGCCTAGGCCTTTGGTTTCCTACCATAACAATGAAGATCTCCCCTCACCCATTTTCTGCCCTGCTTTAAGCTCCAGCTGCGTGCAGTCTTGCTCCTGCAGGGCAGCCTTTGACGCCTCCTCTCTCCGTTGCTGCCCTAATGTACTTGAGGATTCATTAGTCCGGTTATGAACGAAGGTGGATGAGTTCAGCTGAGGGCTCTCCGGAGATCACCTGTCCCCATCTAGCTGCCTTGGGCTCCTTCTTCAGAGCGAGCCCAACCATTTACGTGGCTGAAATACAGGCCACTTGCAGGATCTCTGTAAGCACTCGTCTCCGTCCCTCCCCTCCAGCTGCGTTTGGATGCAGCGATTGTTTCTGTTTGGGCCCTTGCTGTTGACTTGCACCTATATGTGCCAGAAGTCTTGCCAAGTGAAGTCTCTGCAGACTGCTGTGGCCTGTTCCATATGTACTGGTGTGGCAGAGGGGAGCAGGACACAATTAGCACTGTGGAATTTCCATAATTGCTCTGTTGGCCTGTAAAAATTGCTTCCAGTGTTTCTCTTTGTCTGCAGTGTCCTTGCAGCACTCAGCTGTGGATAATTCCCCATGCTAAAATCCCTGATGGTCTTGCATTTGTATCCGATGCCTCCCACTTAATCTTTCTTCGGTCCTAACTGAAGGCATCAAGTCACTTAGGACTTCCAAAGCCACCCAAAACGGCAACTTCCACTCTGTAGTTAGCATTACAACAGTGAAACCATTCCAATGGCTGCTGTTAAATGTCCCCGTAGCTAGCTCGAATGGTTCACACTGTGTTCTCTCGGCTCAGCACGGGGGTGCCACAAATGCCGTGGCTTTGTGAACTGTGGTCCAGCTTTAAAGGCCAGGTTTGCCATTGTGCCTGCTGTGCAGGTGGGCTAGTCAGTGGCGGGCTGTAGAATGTTGTCTAGAGAGGAGACTGCAATTCAGGGCTGTTCAGGATGTGTCTACACTGCAGTAAAAGTCTGAGCCTCTGTTAGTTGGCTCAGGGTGTGGGGCTAAAAACAACTGTGCAGACTTTCCATCTCTGGCTGAAACCTGGGTAGGGAGGAGGGTCTGAGAGCCCCGGCTCCAGCCCAGCATCTGCATATTTTAGCTAACCAACCCGAGCCCCTTGAGCCTAAGGCCAGGTCTACACTAGGGGGCAAAGTGGAACCAAGATGCGCAACTCCACCCACGTGAAAAGTGTAGCTGGAGTCAATGTACCTAAGTTCGACTTCCCGCGGTGTCCCCACTGCAGGGGGTCGATGGGAGTACTGGAGTCGATGGGGGAGTGATCAGCAGTCAATTTAGCGCATCCTTACTAGACCCACTAAATCAACCCCCAGGTGATCAATCTCCGCAACATTGATCTCCCGGTAAGTGAAGACAAGGCCTTAGTTAACTGGCCAGGGCCAGAAGTTTGTGTCTCCGTTTGTCTTTGTCGAGAAGACATACCCTGGCCCCCATGTGGTGTCCAAGTGGTTAGGCGCCCCCGTGTGACCATATTAAATTGTAGCTCAGTGGTTTAATTCAATCACAGGAGTGATTAGCACTTTGCTCCTTCCCCTCTACAGAGTTAGTCTTGACCGGAGGAAGCTGTCTACTTCCGTATCTCTGCAGTCTCCCAAAGCCATTCGTAGCTCTCCTTGGAGAGGAATCCATTCACTACTGAAATGCAGACGCCTCCGAGTGGGGGTTGAGTGGACAGCATGGGCACCAGTGTTTAGTGGGCATGGGATTTGAAGGAGGGGGTAAAACAAAGCCCCCCCAGTGCAAAGCCCTCCTCCTATAAGATCATTAATGACCATTCGGCACAGCCCAGATCTTTGGTTTTTAAAAGCCTTGTTTGAAAGAATCAAGTGCAGCAAACTGGCTGAAAGTCAGATGAATCTACTTCAGAGGGGTGCAGAGTGTGTACGGCCTGTCTGGATTCCCGCCTCTTGGGAGGTCACCAATTTCAGGCCAGGTTTTGGTTCCCCCTTCGGAGCACGGCTTCCCATGCCCACTCACTGACCCACGGCTGGGGTGACTCTATCTCCAGGGAAATGAAACTGTAATCCCCTGCCCTTTATAGCACTCTTCCATGAGACCAGCTCCCAACTGCAGCTTCAGCGAAGGCCCCCTCCCGCCCACAAAGGGAGACCTCATCCGTGCTGTGCGGAGGGTTAATTTACATCTGCATGCCCCAGGGAAGTAGAGCTTCACTATTGCTGTCTGCCACAGGACTGGTCCTCCCTCCACCTCTTGCTTCCTGCCATGATCATTTCGAATGGTCACCCATCAGCCCTGCTTGTGCTGCTGCAAGGCGTGCAGAGAATTGCAAGCCTGCAGGTCCCGAGCTGCTTGGGGGCAGGAACTGCAGGGCTCCATCGCTTTTGCATCCAGCAGTGGCAAGAAATCTGTGTGCGTCTGAGGATCTGCTGGCTCTCTCAGCCATTGCTTAGACAGACCAGCCTCGGGCGATAGTGTCTTTGGGATCTTAGTGGGCAGCTGCATGTTGCGGTGGATCGGATGCCCGTTGGTTTCCCTCGGTTCTGTCTGGGTCACAAGTGGACATAGTGAGCCTCTAGTCAGCTGTGCTCAGGAGAGGCCCTGGACCGGATCACAGGGCTGGGGAATGGAAATTGCTAATAGGGTTTGAGGCATTGTCAGAGCTGAAATGGTCCAGAGGGCAGCAGGTACAGAATGAGGTGAATTCATGGGGCAGGCGAGCCAGGACTAGTGGAGCAGATGCCAGTCAGCACTAAGGAGCATTAGCGGAGCTGGGTGCCACTAGCCCAGGAGGTTTCATAGTCACAAACTGCAAGATCACCGCTGTGATCAACTGGCCTGACTCCCCCCCGCTCCCATCCCTGCATGGCACAGGCCAGAGCCTTGTCCCCATATACATTCCTAGAGCAGAGCTGTTTAGAAAAACACATGATCTTGATTTTCAAATCGATGGAGAGATCACCATGACCCTTGAGCAAGAAGTTCAGCGGTTCCTTCCTCTCGCTGTAAAAAATGCACATCATCTGTTTCCTGTCTGAATTTGTCTGGCTTGAACTCCCAGCCATGGGGTCCTGTGAGACCTTTCTCTGCTAGATTGAAGAGCCCACTCGGACATATTTGTTCCCCATGTAGGTGCTTGTAGTCTGTGACTGGGTCACCCCTTAGGGGTTTCTCCTTGAGTTAAACAGAATTTAGTTTAGGGGTGAGACCCAGCAATGGGGAGGGGTGTAGTGCTTTAAAATGGGAGACTGGGAATTGAAACTAAAACTTGTCAGGTTTTGGCTTTGCCGTGGACTCCAAGTGCCATGGGGGCAAGTCATATCCCCTCTATGCTCCAGTTTCCCTTGCTGCAGAAGGGGCTGTCCTGAGACGGTTAGTGATTAGCGAGACTGCCAGATCAAACCCAAAGGCTTCCTTTAAGTAACATCTTATTTTTAATTTCCCTTTCTTCTCTTTCAGAATATCTTTCAGATGGCCAGGTCACAGCAGAGAGACGCCGCCACTTAGCCCCTCCTGTCACTGAAGAACGTAACCCTCCCTCCCCAAAATTAACATTTAAAAAAAGATTTAAAAAATTCTGTTATTGTATTAAAAGCCCTTAAACTAAATATTATTAATAACAATACCATTTGTGAATTTCATGGTTATGAAATTAAGCAACTAGGATAAAACCAGCAGGCTTATCAGAGTAACAAGAGGGGAAAACTTTTCAAAAACAGACGAAATCCACCCAAGGGTATTCTGTTTTTCTTTTTTTGTTTCACTTAGGTCCTGCATTGGAAGATGGACTGTGCTTATATTATATTTTTTACAACTGGAAATAGAAATGCCATCCATTTGCACTGTTCAGACATATATATGTATGTATGTAAAAAAGAAAAAAAAAGAAAGTTATATATACAAAATACCACACACGTATATACATATATATATATTTCTTTTAAAATTTCATATCAGCAGTACCTTTTCTAAGCTTGTGTTTTTACACACATCTCTTTCCTCTGAATCCATCGTGTTTTTTTAAAAACAACTAATGGAAAAAAAAGAAAAAAAGCAACATTACAGGGAAATACCTCTCCTCTCAAAGGACCTCGACACGTTTACAAGCTTTTAATTTTGGGTTGTTTTTTTTTCCTTTCATTTTTTTACATTGGAGTTTTTCAAGACATGTGCGAAGCAGCTGGCTCCAGAACTAACGGGACAAGGAGAGGAGGGTGGATTATGTTCACTGATGGCCCAATCCTGCATCCGTAACTCAGGCAGCGTCTAAAATCAATGGGGCAGCTCCCAGGAGTAAATGTTGATGAAGGCTTTGATGCTGAAGTGGATGTGAGTCTGAACTCCCTGGGCTCAGAGCTGAGCCCATATGCACTGAGTGGTAGGACCGGTTTTGAGCTGGAGTTTTCCTATTGGCCTCAGTGGACTTTCATCCAAGGTCCGAAGGAGTGAAATTCACCTTTGTGCCAGAGAGCCAGTTTCAAGTCTGTTCTCGGGGTAAGGCCCACAGCAGCCATGGTTGGAAGGATGAAGTGGACCTGTCTGCCACAGCTCTGGGCTCAGGCTCTCCCAGATTGATCCTCACTTCTCCTCCAAGCTGGACAGAGCGGATCCTGCTTTTTTGGCTCTCCTTGTGCTGGCTCCGTGCACTTTCACCTTGGGGTAACGAAGGTTTCATGGCCAGGCCCTGAGAGACATTGGTAAAGGAGAGCCAAAAAAGCAGAATCTGCTCTGTCCAGCTTGGAGGAGACGTGAGGATCAATCTAGGCGAGCCTGAGCCCAGAGCTGTCGTAGCCAAATTGCTGGTGCCTTTCTGACCGGCGTTGGCTGCTCCTTGCAGCTTTCCAGGACAGGAGCAGAATTGTTTGTGTCGTGCTGACGCCCGTATTTCACTAGCAATCGGTCAACCCTGGCAGGGTGAGAGAGACCAGCGCTGACAATGCAAAGGCAGCTTCCCCAAGCAGGCGCAGATTTTAAACAGCCTGGCCTCGGTGCGAGTTTGAACTGTTCTAGCCAAGCTGAGCAACTGCCTGGGTAATCGCTCTCCTTTTCTGCACATGCCCTGAGCAGCCCTTAGTGTTTTCCTGCTGCTTTCCCGCTTCTCAGAGCACTTTCAATGCAAAGGCTTTTCTGCAGGGGGTTCTGGCCCCGTGTAGACGAAGGTGTTACGAATTCCTCCTGCTTCCCCATCTCTCCCCCTCCCCACCCCACTGGCGTGTGGTTCTAAGACTGGACGCAGGGAGCTGACTGAGGAGGCAGCCCCTGGAGAAAGTTAGTTTGCTAGTGAGCGGTCGTCATCCTTGTAGCTGCTCCGGTTGATTTATCACCTCGATGGGTGCCCTGGCAACTTATTCCTGTGTTGAACTAGGCTGGGATCCCTGTGAATCCTAAGGGTAACTCTTCACCCACCCATTCCACCTGCACATTGAGCTCGGGTGGGTCAGGAGGACAAGTCTGACAGCCCCACCTCTGATTCAGGAAGAGCATCAAAGGAGGCTCTTTGCAGGCGAGAGACTAAGGAGCATGGGGATAAATGAACAGTCAGTGTGGACAGCCGGGGAAGAGAGAAAAGAAACGAGCAATGGAATCAGTTATTGTCTTCAGAGAGAAGTCTAGGACAGTTGGCAGCTTTCCTCTGTCTGTTCCCTGTGCCTCTCAAGAGCTGCAAAAATAGACCCAAAGTTGAGGCATGAGCAGCACATGCTGTTTGCTCTGACTTGATGGCGTGGAGAATCATCTCTTTAAAAAAGCAAAACTGCCATTGCGGCTCATGGGATCTGACCCTGAGCGTGAACCCAGTGTGGCCTGCCAGTACCATGCAAGAAGCTGCTTTCAACGGCAGGCCAGGAAATGCTCTGTAATGATAGACAGCGTCCTCTGAGGGATAATTTTGAAGCGGGAGGAGTGTCAGCTTAGGAGAAACCTTGGCTTTGCGCTTGGAATCCAGTGTTCTGTGCCGGTACATTTTTGCCTACAAATGTTTCATTTCTTTGTATGAATTAAGTAGCTTACTCACATTGGTCCAAGTGTAAGGTATTAAAGGCTGCAGCAGAAATTTGGCTCTGCGCTTTAGATCTTGAATTGATTGCATGTCCCTTATACAAAGGAAACAATTGAACTGAGGAAACGGGGCAGGTTTATAAAAGGGCTTTAATACATGAACTTACTGGATATTTAGGTCCACTAGATACCCCAACGCTTAATTTCCTCCAACCCCTGAAACATTTAATTTAACCTAACACTAGAACCAGAGGTCACGCAATGAAATTAAGAGGCAGCAGGTTTGAAACAAACAAAAGGAAATACTTCTTCACACGATGCACAGTCGGCCTGTAGAATTCTGTTGCCAGAGGGTGTTGTGAAGGCCAAAGGTAAAAAAAGAATTAAATATAAGTTCATGGAGGATAGATCCATTATTGGCTCAAGATGGTCAGGGATCCAACCGCATGGACTGGGTGTCCCTAAACTTCTAACTGCTGAAAGCTGCAGCTAGATGAGGAGATGGATCGCTTGAAATTGCCCTGTCTTGTTCATTCCTTCTGTAGTGTCTGATATTGTCCGTTGTTGGAAATGAGGTACTGCCCCAGAACGTAAGAATGGGTCAGGCAAAGGTCCATCTATCCCAGTACCTGTCTTCCGACAGTGGCCACTGCCAGGTGACCCAGAGGGAATGAACAGAACAGGGAATCATCAAGCGATACCGCCCCGTCACCCAATCCCAGCTTCTGACAAGCAGAGGCTAGGAACACCATTCCTGCCCATCCTGGTTAATAGCCATTGATGGACCTATTCTCTATTACTTTATCTAGCTCTCTTTTGAACCCTATTATAGTCTCGGACTTTACAACATCCTCTGGCAAGGAGTTCCGCAGGTTGACTGTTGTGTGAAGAAGTACTTCCTTCTGTTTGTTTTAAACCTGTTACCTTTGGTGACCCTTAGTTCTTATGGGAACAAGTAAAGAACTTACTCACTTTTTCCACGTCAGTCAAGATTTTATAAACCTCTCATATCTCTTAATCTCCTCTTTTCTAAGATGAAATGTCCTGGTCTTATTAACCTCTCCTCATATGGCAGCCATTCCATTGTGGGCCATTGATCTGACTCAGCATGGCCATTCTTATTTTTCAGCCCAGAGAAATATTGCATGTGGTGTAGGCCTTATGTAGTGATGTACGCATAAAATATTGGTTGGAACATGCAGTGGATTATTTTTAAACCAATGTAGATCAAAGCTGGTCAGAAATTGGATGGGTTTCGGGTGCAATAATAGTTTTTTCCCTATGTTTCCCAGCTATTCGTGTCTTTTTTGGGCTGCACGATTCTTTCCTTTGTTCATTTAAAAGAAGCTTTTTGTGTAACTAGCAACTGTTACTCCGTGCAGCAGAGAGGCACTTACAAATGCACAGTATGGAGCAGCCCAAGCTATTGGTCTTGGGCAGACGATACGACATTTGTGTGTGTGTTTTGGAAAGCTGTTCAGATGGTGTGTCTGGGGAGGGGCAGGTGATGCTGGGTTAAAATCACATGCGTGTTTCCAAAGTCGCTCTCTCCTTAAGTATCTTCCTGTAGTGCTGTGTTTTCCTCTAGCTTTGTGGCTTAGGCTGAGAGGGGTGTGGCGTTTGGAGTCTGTCTACCCAACTTCCTGCCCCTCTTTGGGGTTGGAGGCAGAATTGGACGGCAATAAGAAAAGCCTCTCGTAAAAGGACTGTCCCCGGGGCATGTTCTTAGATAAATTAGATTGCTCATTTCCCTGAACTAATCCTGCTGCTCTCTCCCCCGCAAGCCCTCCCCTGTTGCCCAACGGGAACATTGGTGTTGGATCCGCTGTTGCTTTTCCACGTGGCTCTATCAGCCTCTGGTGGCAAGAAGGCATTTTGATTTCTCTGCACAGACAGCGAGGTCGCCATAGCACATGTCTCTCTGCCAGATCAGTAACAAGTGAAGAGCTGGGCTCAGTGGAGTGTGTATCCTCCAGCACAGATGCCCTTTGAATTCCCTCCTGGGGTTTCAGGCAGGCAACTAGTTGTGGTGGTTAGAGCAGGGAACTGGAAGTCAGGACACCTGTAGTCTTTCTGACTCTGCTACTGACTTTCTGGGTGACCTTGGGTGAGTCACTCTCCCCCCCTCCCCGTGCCTCAGTTTCCCCATTAGTAGATTGATGCATTCATACCTGCCTTTGTAAAGCACTTTGAGACTCTTGATTGGGAGGCATTATACAAATGTGCAGTATTAACCTTTCCTAGTAAATTACCCAAAGGACTGAACAGCTGCTGACAAAATCTCTCTCGTGTGTGGAGACAAGATCTGCAATCCATTTCCTGTTTTAATCAGAGCAGATGTAAAGATTCTGGCAGCTGTGTTAAGAGCCCCTCCCCAGCCTCTGATTGTTGCGCTCAGCTACTCAACTTGACTCAAGTCAGAGGTGTTCAACAGATTTGCATGTCACAGGAATAAGCGAGGCTTTGGGGAGCCCCTGGAGTCTTTCATGTTCCAGCTGAGATCTGTGTTAGGGAGGCTTGAACCCAGAGAGCTGTATGTACGGCTGACTTATGAAGGCCTTGTTTTGCCGACAGTTCTCCGCACACAGCCAAGCCACCCAGCAAAGGCTGAGCCAGGATCCTTGAAAGGCTGCTTGAGGGGTG